CTCCTCCTCCTCCTCCTCCTCCTCCTCCTCCTCCTTCTTCTTCTTCTTTTTCTTCTTCTTCTTAATAATGGCAGTGAGAGGTGATCTAGAAAGAGAATAGCTAGAAAAATTAACTGTCTACAACAAGGTTTGACTGAGCTGAAATGTGTTCTCCATCCCTCTAGGATGAGGGATGAAGGGACTTAGGTTTTAATGTACATTTCCAAATAGGCAAGAAGCAAGTGGTCATGTGCTGGAGAATGTTTTATCTCTCCTGGAACTTTGACCTGCCTTGAATCCTAGCAGAGCTTCTCATGAGATGATTTGGAGGAATTGCATATCCCTCAGACACAATGAAAGATCCCCACAGGTGCAGAAGTACATGTAAATATTTGAGGGATATGAGCAGACAGTATCTGTGTGTGACAGCCCCCTTGGCCATCACTTGTAAAAGAGTACTTCAATCATTCTTTATTCTCTTAAAATATGTTTCCTTAATCTATTCTCTTTCATATTATCAATGAGTTTTTATTTTCTAAACATTTTTGTAGGTATCATAAATATTAAATCAAACTCCTCTCCTTTCTCCTCAGGATTTGCATTTATATCCCAACATGCTTTTTTGTTCTCATTTCAGAATAGGTTTACTTCTTTAATTTGCTTGTTTCCCATTTTTATTGCTGCCCAACTGAACTTTTGTCTTATCTTAGTCCATTAATTTTCACCTCTTCTGTATGTTTAATGTTCTTTCACTGTCTCACATTGTAGTCAATACGTAAGTTCACATTTCTCCAATAAAAAATACATGCAAAATAAAACAAGAAACATGCAAACATCTATTTTAGATACTGCTTCTTCTTATAGCCTCATTCCTGTCCCCATCTCTTCTTTATTATTTGAGATGTTTAACAACTGACTATACTTACATTCTCAATTTTGTTATTTCAATTTTATGTCTCAATCCTTCATTCCTATTTTGTGGCTTCTAATATTATAACAAAAGTCAAACACCTTTAAACTTTCCATTTCCTTCAGATCTAGTTGAGACTGGTGAAAATCATCAATTTTAATCCCTAAGTACTTTTACAGCCTTTTCAGTTTATCTGGACTTTCCCAGAGCACCAGTGTTCTTGATTATCTTCACTACAAACTCTACCTCCCATTTATACACATAAAGGGTAAGTTTGAGATCATATGGCAACTTTCTTCATTTCATACTCATCAACCCAGAAGTGACATTCAACTCTTTCTAGAGTCCCACAAAACTGTCAGGTAAAATCCACTGAAACAATATATTTGTGTGTGTACTGGAATTATTTGAAAGCTTGATAAAGATTTTTTATAACAACAAGAAAATTCTATACTACCAGGATCAAAACATAAGTGTCCTAATCTCCTAATCGAGGTATCCAAATGAGAATTCAATCTTTATTTTTTTGAATTTCTTCATTGCATATAATTCATTGCATATAATCCTTTTAAACATTTTGATATTCTTGAAAAGTTCTTCTTTTCTTAGCTCTTCCTGAATTAGTCATGAAGTCTCCTACATAGGAGGCTCATGGACTCCTTTTTTCTGGCCTGCCCTTTCCACATCAGCACCTGATAACAATTTATTCCAGCCAAATTATTATTTTTTTCTTAATTTCCATTTATCTGTAGAAATAACCATTTTCTGTTTGTTTAAATTTATTATMTATATGCTATTGAGTCCAAAATGATATAGAACAGATCTTAGTCTATATTAACAGTCCAGTATTGTCAATTGCTTATTGCACATTTACTGAGAGATGCTCTGTGGACACCTCAAGCTTAACATAATCAAATCAAAGTCATTATCCCCTCTCATCATATCTCTACTCAAATCCACACTCCTATATTCTCTATTGCAAAATTGAACCACCATTCATATCCATCACTTCCAAACAGTTTTTAAACCTTATCTATTTTAATTGTGTAAATCTTAGAGTTTATTCCCTTTACTTCATATCTAACAACTTAATTAACTTTCCAGGATCCGTTCTTTACATTTACCAATCCATCTTTTCATCCGAACTTGTTTTGGTTGAGAATGCAAAGTTGATCATATGGCTTATCTATTTTTTTTACTTTTCCATTACCCCTTTTGGTTCAGTAGGGTAGATTTCTTGCCTACTCATCACAAATGCAAATAAAACTTGAAATTAAAAAAATTATTTGATATTAAATTTGATCTTTTCTTCTTTGCTTTATTATCTGTTCCACAAATTATTTTCCCATTCTCATCTCCTACTACTTGCCCTAATACACCTTTACTGAACTTGATTCCTTGCGCTTCTATGATACCCATACTACATCATCCCAATGTCTTTTACATTGTATTGTATTTAACTAAAGTGTTCCTTTTTATCAATCCTTTCTTGTTTTTGTTTTTTTTATCTGAAGTTTCCACTTAGTATTCTCCCTCCAGGCCCAAGCAGATGTACTTCCTTCTCTCGGATTGTCTTATTATTAGGATATGCCTTTACAATAAAGAAATGCATAGTATCAAAATAATATCTCACTGAACTTGTATCATTTAAGGATACAACACAAGTTTTTTTTTTTCAATTCTATTTTATTCTGGGATTAGTACAGAGGTTGGTACATAGGTCAGACTGAATATACATCTGTCTAAAAAATTAAGTATGACAAGATGTCTTTTTGTTTCATTGGTCAGTTAAGAATCATTTAACATCCACTGTTTATGGAGATTTAAACTAGATGGTAGAGGAAGGAAGGAAGATATTAAAATAAAATTTAATTAAAATGTCTGGTTTCAATAAGTGCTTGATAGTTTCCCCTTTCTAAATTAGTGAGGGTGATTTACATAGCTTGGCTCAAAACTCTTATTAAATCTGTAAATTGAAAACCATGTCACAAGATAAATTCTTTGTTAATATAGTAAAAAGACTGTGTTATGAACACTGGAACTATTCAATAAATATTAATTGCAGTATATTTCATACCTTGACCAAAATACCGAAGGACTTCTTGCCTACCCATCATAAATGCAAAACTTATATTTAACAAATGACTTGATATTAAATTTGATCATTTTTTCTTTGTAAATATTAAAGCAACAATGAACTTGAATTTCAGTTAGTGTGGTCTTGAAAAGTCATATTGGTGTTAGTGCTTCCTTCATAAGCAAGAGTCTGTTTCCAAAGTTCAAACATACATGCATTCTTCAAGGAGAAATAAAAATGTCTAAGAGTTAAGTTGCTTAGAAATGATGCCAATTTTCCTTTTAGATCGAGACGAATGTGCTATTTATGGTACCTGCAGCCAGACCTGCATAAATACACATGGCTCCTATGCTTGCAGTTGTGTGGAGGGCTATCTAATGCAGCCAGACAACCGGTCTTGCAAAGCCAAAAACGGTAAGTGAATTTTTTTTTTTGTCCCGAATTCCTTGCTTCCTTTACACAGCTCCTTTTCATTAGAAATGAAGTATAGCAATATGGATTTG